TATAATTTCTCAAAAAAGAAAAGAAAAGAAAATCTTGGCCCAAAACAGTGTTTTCTTGGGGTTGGTTCTTTTTTTTTTTTTAATAATTTTATTTATTTTCCCCCCCCAAAGCCCCAGTAGATAGTTGTATGTCATAGCTACACATCCTTCTAGTTGCTGTATGTGGGACGCGGCCTCAGCATGGCCAGAGAAGCAGTGTGTCGGTGCACGCCCGGGATGCGAACACAGGCCGCCAGCAGCGGAGCACGCACACTTAACCGCTAAGCCACGGGGCTGGCCCGGGGTTGGTTCTTTCTATTGATCATTCTCACAGGTTGTCACCCACATGTAGCAAGAAAACCACCCTCTGAGAAACAGCCAACTTCCGGTTCATCCCAAGTATTGCAACCTGTGTGACACAGATGTCATCAGAATTTAGATAATTCAAGCTAGAGTGAGCACATCTGGAGAATCATTCATATCTATATTTTCATGTAATGAGGATCTGAATTTAGAGTGTTTCTCTGGCTCCAGATCAACAAAATTTCACCTCTGCTTACCTAGCAATTTCCCTTCTAGGAATCTACCTAAGGAAACAATCAGAAACCCGGGCCAAAACTTGGGTGGAAAGATGTCCATCAAAGAATTATTTATCATTGGAAAAAACCTAAATCTTCAACAACAGAATGGCAAAATAAATTGCACACAATGGAACTCTAAAGAGCCATTACATTTTTTTAATGTAAATATACGTAATGACACGGGAAACTATACTATAATGTTAATAGTAATAATGCTAACAATTATGTCAGGTGCTGTGCTGAGCACTTTACATATATTACCTCATTTAATCCTCAGAACGACTAACCATGTGAAAGATATCATTATTATTTACTTGTTACAGATGAAGAAATGGTGACTTAACAAGGTTAAGTAACTTGACACAATCACATAGATGGGGTGTGTCTAATTCCAAAGCTGTAGCAGCTAAGAAGCCACTACACTATTCTGCAGGATACAATTTATAGATATATATGATACCAATTTGTTGTTACTACACACACACACACACACACACACACACACACAGGTGACTTTAAAAATATTTTAAAACGAGTACAGCAAAGCACAGACCAGTCAGAAGGGACACTACAACCACTCAGAATGGAAGCCAGGTGTAAATAACCAAAATGGCCATCTAGTTTCAGTTAACCTTTGCTGTGTAACAAACCACCCCAAAATTGAGCAACTTAAAACAACCATTTTATTGGCTCATGATTCTGTGGATTGATAACATGGGCTGGGATCAACAAGGTGGTTCTTCTGTTAGTCTTTCCTAGAGTCACTTGTGTGTCTGCAATCATCTGACAGCTCAACTAGGATTGGATGGTCCAAGATGACCTCACTTACACACGTGGCTTTTGGTGCTGGCTGTCAGCTGGACCTTTCTCTTCATGAGGTTTTTCATCCTCAAGGAGACTAGCTCAAGTATCTTCACACGGCAGCAGCAGTGTTCCAAGAGGGCATGAGCAGAAGCTTTACAATCTCTTGACGTCTTGCTTAGAAGTTGTATACCATCACTTCTACTGCATTCTGTTGGTCAAGGCAAGTCACGAAGCCAGTCCAGATTCAAGGAGTGGGGAAATAGACTCTACCTCTTGATGGGAGGAGCTGCAATGAATCTGTGCCATTTTTAATCCACTACACTGTATATACCAACTGAATATCAGCCCTGCATGTATATGTACATAAAAAAAAGACTGGAAGGAAACCAACCTGTTAACAGGGATTATTTTTATCTTTTTATATTCCCGCACTTCTCCAATTTTCTTAATCAGTAAGCATTACTTTCATAAACATAAAAAAAATTTGACATCTTTCATAATAGTTTAATAGGGCAGGTTGGACAGCTTCACTTTGGCACCGAAATCAGCCAAATTCCTTCTCCCCCAGCTCTACCACTTCCCGGCTTTGGCAATTTTGTAACCCCTCTGAGCCTCTGGTTTTCTCAGTCATAAAGACGGAGCTAACATTACCTATTTCACAAGACAGTTGTAAGGATCAAATGCGACAATGAATATAAAGCACCCACACCCACCACGTGCCTTGGCCGAGACATGCCTTGGCGATTTCCCTTCCTCCTCTCCCCCTACTCAGACCTCCTCAGTTATAGGAATTCTCTTTCTCACAAAGATTAAATTCTGTTTAGTAAACTACACACACTCTCTAAAAGTAAACTGTATGCCCTGAGGGCTGGTTTCAAAACTTAGTCCTCCTTTATAACCCCCAAGTACCCAGCACAAGACTCAATAAATATTTGTTGATTTGTTGACTCATTAACCAAATAAAAGTTTTCCAAATGCAAGGCAGTTAATCCCTTTTTATGCAGTTTTAAATCTAAATTCCAGTATCAAGAGGGGGTAATGTTGCTTATCCATTGCATCTATCTATTCATGACAATGGAAAAGCCTAACTTGATTCACTGCCATGAAGAAAACTCAACTTTCTGAGGGTTCTAAGCTTCTACATGTGCACAAACACAATCACAATGAGCTTTCGTCAGCCATATGTTTTTCAGAATAGGCTCTTCCTTGTCATAATGGCAAAGTTGAACATAAGAGCATGAAACTTAAACTGGAAAAACAGGATAAACAGAAAAAAATTACAATGCATTTTAATGAAACAATCATTATTCTAAAAAACTAAGCAACCCAAATTGAAAATGGTCTTGTTTTTGCTTCAATGAGGCAGCTATCATTAGTCACAGAGGTCTAATTTACTGTTATCAGTAAATTTGTAACAAGCTCTCCTTCGGCCTCCCACAAGTAAGACCAAAGCAGAGGAGGGAAGGGCCTATGAATGGTCATCAGTGTGTCATGGTGTCAGGAAAGACACTACCTGGATTAGGTAGACGAGAATCAATGCTATTTTTAAAGATCTTTAAGAAAGACACTGCTTAAACTCCCACCCGACGGTGACTCACTATGCATGACATCCCCAGAGGGTGGGAAGGGTAAGAGAGAACCCACTTTTGCTTTCTTTTTTACATACAGGATATTGCTAACTAAGGCAGAGAATCACTTGTTGAATGTTGGGGGAGGGGGGTGGGAGTGGTCATTTGGTGATAGTCCAATCTCTCATTCCACAGAAAGAGAACGCTGCAGGCCCCTTTTATGCTTTCTCCTTGACTCATCCTGGAAACCAGGCAGGACCCTCAGGAAGGTCTGTCTGGAAAGGTGGGTTGTAAAAGAAAACTGTATCTGTCAGAGGCTTGAATACTTGTTCCAGTGGGTACAATCCAGGAATAGCTTTACCTAATCCAACTGTTCTCAAACATTTTGCTCCCAGGACATTTAAAAACTATTGAAGAATCCAAAATGCATACCTTCAAAAATTCCAGAAAACATTAGAATACATAAGCACACATTCCTTTAGTCACTAAAGCAATGATGTCATCACACATCCCGTAAATTTATAATTATTTCAAAACAGAAAGTTAAAAAAAGGGAATAAAAAGAAGCACAGAGGATGGAGCAAGTAGGGATTACAACAGCAGCAATGGAAGCCAGAAGATAGTCAGATATCATCAATATGCTGAAAGAAAATAACTTCCAATCTCAAATTCTGTCAGCAGTAAAATAAATCCTTCAAGAATTTTAAGATGAATTAAAGATATATTTAGACAAGCAAAACAGAAAATTTTACAAAAGCAGACCTTCACTAAAGGAAATTATGGAGAGTGTAACTCAGGCAGAAGGAAAGTGTTTCCACAAGGAAGGTCAGAGATTTAAGAAAGAACAAGAAGGGACAAAAGTAAGAAATAAAACCTTGTGTTAATTCTAAAAATTATAAGTACAGGAGTCCCCCCTTATCTGCGGTTTCACTTTCTGCAGTTTCAGTTACTCACGGTCAACAGCAGTCTGAAAATATTAAATGGAAAATTCCAGAAATAAACAATTCATAAGTTTTAAATTGTGCGCTGTTGCGAGTAGCGTGACGAAATCTTGAGCCTTCCCACTCTGTCCTGCCCAGGATGTGAATTATCCCTTTGTCCAGTGTATCCACGCTATTTATGCTACCGGTACCCACCCCTTAGTTACTTAGCAGCCGTCTCAGTTATCACATGACTATCCCGGTATCACAGTGCTCGTGTTCAACTCACCCTTATTTTACTTAATAATGGCCCCAAAGCTCAAGAGAGAGCAGTGATGCTGGCACTTTGGATATGCCCAAGAGAAATTGTTGTTAATTTCTTACTGTGTCTAATTTATAAATTAAACTTTATCATAGTTATGTATGTATAGGAAAAAACATAGTATATACAGGGTTCAGTACTATACCCAGTTCCAGGCATCCACTGTGGGTCTTGGACTGTATCCCTTGCAGATAAAGAGGGACTACTCTACAGGCGGAAAACTTATTGAGGAATCCAAATAACTTACCTTAGGAAATTCTGTAAAACACAAGAGTACACAAGCACACATTCCTTTAGACATCAGAGCAATGACTTCATCACACAACAGGTCGCCTCTGGAAAATTCCAGCGAGAGTGAAAAAGGCAAAGGATATCTTACTATTATTATGGAAGTACTTTTGACACAGACTCCCTGAAATGATCTTGGGACCCACAGGGCCCCCGGATCACAATTTGAGAATCGCCTCTCTAATTCCCTTCATCACCCAAGGCCAGGTCTGAGTTTCCTTTCCTGACGGGTCAAGGAAGAAACAGCAAGGTCACTGGTCGGGGGCCACCAGGGGAATTGCTCTCTCGCTTTCGCAAAGGTTACTGGAGGACACGTAGGCTCCGAGGTCGGGCTTCCGGGAAGGCTCCACGAGGCGCCACTAGAGCGCGCCGCTAGAGAACCCAGCCGCGCACCCCTCCCACCCCACCCGCTGGCCGGGTTCACACGGACGCCCGGAAGAGAGGGCGGCGCCAGGAAGAGGGGGCGGGCGCGGCCTCATTGGACGAGGACCGTCCGCCTCACGGCCGGGGGCGGGGCTTCTCCGCGCTAAAAAGCAGAGCTCAGCGGCGGCTCGAACGCGCAGCTCTGGTCGCAGTCAGCTGGAGGTTTTTCGTCGCTCACCGAGGTTCGCCGGGTCATGGTGCCAGCCTGACTGAGAAGAGGACGCTCCCGGGAGACGAATGAGGAACCACCTCCTCCTGCTGTTCAAGTACAGGGGCTTGGTCCGCAAAGGGAAGAAAAGCAAAAGACGAAAATGGCTAAATTCGTGATCCGCCCGGCCACCGCCGCCGACTGCAGTGACATCCTGCGGCTGATCAAGGTAGCCGAGGCCCGGGCTCCTCCCGGGGCGGGGTGGGAGGTGGGCGGCGGCTCCGTTTCCGGGAAAGTCCGCGTCTTGCGCAGGTTCCCCTTTCTCCCCCGCCTCCCCAGCCCCAGCCGGGCTGGGCAGGGCCGCGCCGCTCGGCTCCGGCCAGACTCAGGGAATGAATCGCCACCCCGCCCCGCCCCCTCCTTCCCTCTGAGTTGTCCGTGCCGGGGCCTCACTTAGTTTTCTGCTTCTCTCCCTGTCTCCTGTGTGCATCGCCCCAGGAACTGGCTAAATATGAATACATGGAAGAGCAAGTAATATTAACTGAAAAAGGTAATGTATCAGTGGGGGGCGAGGGACGAGCGTCCAGTACCTGTCACCTTTACCGAGGCCAACACTGTCTGTCCCTGCTGCCCCTTGCAGATCTGCTAGAGGATGGTTTTGGAGAGCACCCCTTCTACCACTGCCTGGTTGCAGAAGTGCCCAAGGAGCACGGGACTCCGGAAGGTAACCGTCCTCCCGTTTCAGAAGCCAAAGAAACCAAGTGTTGTGTAAATCGTAGTGTCTGCTGTGTAGAGAACCACTTACAACACAGGCCGAAGTTACTGAGAAGTTGGCCAGAAATAATAGCCAACCAGTGTTCAGACTACTGAGGAAAAAAAATAGATGTGCGGCACTTAATAATAGGGCGGGTTAAAAGAGCTGTTTAAGTAAGTATCAGAGTGCTGTGGAGACCCGGAAGAGTTTGAGCTGTTTAAGTAAGTATCAGAGTGCTGTGGAGACCCGGAAGAGTTAGGTATAATGTCATTTGTTGTAGTTCAGTTTCATAAATGGTTCTTGTTTGACCCTAACGTAACCTTTTTTGTAATTGTTAAATCACATTTTTTTCTTTAATTTGTCCCAATCTTCAGGTTACAGTCTCTAGCTTCGCCATGTACATGGCCCTTCCGTGTACATGGATGGGCGGGGAGGTAACTAAAAGATCCTTTACACAATAAAGTAGATGATCATGATAAATGAGGTAAGGTCCTATTATCACACACTTAAAACACGGTAGATCAGAAACTCCATTGTACTCGCTTCCTGTCTGTGTTTGCAAAGGACTATAAAATGGCTAGAAAGTTTAATTTGAAACCTTTGCCTCCAGTTGGAATTACAGACACCCATAAGAGGATGTCACATTTTGTTTTGTTTTGCTGGTCCCTGTTGACTGGTCAGAAGATAGCGCTAAAAGGGGAAGTTGTTGGGGTGGGTGCTTAAGTTTTTTTCTGACATCTGTTCCCCAAGCTAGAAGAAATGAGCAGAAAACGTAAGGGGTGAGGTGCTTTTTAGAGGGATGTGGATGTTACATAATACCTGTTTCTGGGTATCTCTGCTTCTTCTGGCTTAAAAACTGGGGAGAGCAAATTGAAAATGTGTGAATTGGAAGGCAAGTTCTGAAATTAAACGTTGCGTTTTTTGGCCTGATGTCCTGACCTTAAGGAAGCAGAGTTTCTAAACTACAAATATTTACTATTCTGAACTGCCGTGTAAACCTGACTTATTCCCAAGTCAACATACCAGTATATCAATAGGATGTGAATAATGTGTGTGTTTAGTTTAAGACCATAGCAGTTTCGCTCTGGCAAATAATGAAAACATTCTCGCTTCCTGAGTATGAGATCCAGCAGATTGCAGAGTGGCCAGTCCACAATTTAAGCCTGGCTTCAGCTAGCTCTAATGTGTGCTTTTTGCAAATACATGTTTTGAGAACAGTGAGATCATCCAGCAGTGGCCTGGACTGCACTAGCATAAAAGTCAAGAGACAGTCCGGTTCAGTGGCTACTTATTTTTATAATACATGCATGTGTATTTTTTAAGACCTATGATAGGCCTCTGATTTTGCAGCTACAACTTTTATGGATTGCTTTTCATTCACATCTCATGTGATACTCTTATTACAGGACACAGCATTGTCGGTTTCGCCATGTACTATTTTACCTATGACCCATGGATTGGCAAACTATTGTATCTTGAGGACTTCTTCGTGATGAGTGATTATAGAGGTATGGTTGAGTTCAGGGGGAAGCTCTAAAGAGAATCAGGTCTTGAAGTCTTTAAGATGATTTTTTAAATGGTACTTCTCTTTCTTTTAGGCTTTGGCATAGGATCAGAAATTCTGAAGAACCTAAGCCAGGTACATTTTGATTTTTGGTTTCTGAATTTGTAAGAGTTATTGGATTATTTTAATGACTGAATCAAAATTGGGTCTTGGAAATGTCACTGAGTTTGTTTTACTCTCCCATATAATAGGTTGCGATGAAATGTCGCTGCAGCAGCATGCACTTCTTGGTAGCAGAATGGAATGAACCATCTATCAACTTCTACAAAAGAAGAGGTGCTTCTGACCTGTCCAGCGAAGAGGGATGGAGACTCTTCAAGATCGACAAGGAGTACTTGCTAAAAATGGCAGCAGAGGAGTGAGGAGTGCTGGTGTAGACGATGACAGCTTCCATTCTATTTTAGAATAAATTCTCAACTTATCTTGCTTTCTATCCTGTTTGTAGTGAAATAATAGAATGAGCACCCATTCCAAAGCTTTATTACCAGTGGCGTTGTTGCATGTTTGAAATGTGGTCAGTCTGAGATGGCAATCTTGTATGCAGTTCGGAGTCAGATTTCTCCTTGAACATCTTTTTGATAAACAACTAGGTGGTGTGATCTTAATGTATATGAAAAAAACTTCATTCTTGTGAGTCATTTAAATGTGTACAATGTACACACTGGTATTTAGAGTTTCTGTTTTGATTCTTTTTTAATAAACTGCCCTTTGATTTAATTGCTTGGTGTAAGCATTTTTACTAATTCTTTATTTCTTAGACATTTTTCTTGCTATTGAGTGCAAAATAAAAATGGCCAAGAAACATAACTTTATAATGGTTTAAAAACAGTATTTAACCCAATTTAAAGTTTCTTATGGTAACGAGAAGCCAGTTGAATTCCAAGGTGTTATATGTAGCAACATGTAAAATATGACTTTACACTGATGACACAGTACACTTGATCTGACAGAATTTTCAAGAGCTTAGAAACTGAGGCCCACAATGAATAAGCCCCTTTGTCACACAAGTAAAAGAGGCAGAGGTCAGATTTTGAAACGGGGGGGGGGGGGGGGAAATCTTGGTCACAACAACCTCATCCCACACAAAATACTGTTCTGAAGGGAAAGTGGATCACTTTGCTAATCAGGCAAGAGCAAAAATCCCACATTTTTACAGGAAATTTACAAACAAAAATATAGGCTGAGTTGGACACACGTACCAATCAGAAATTAGCATCATATTTGGAGGGTGAGTTTGTGGTACTGTGTTAACACAATGGGCTTCTGGGAAATAATAGGAGTGCTTAAACCATGGTGGGGGTCGGGGGGGGTGTGTGTAAGTAACAAAACCTTTCTCCAGGACAAAATGAAACTCAGTAGAGGCATGAGGAAGAGATAGTTTTAGATACATGAACTCGCTTGTTTTTTGCTGGGAAAGAGTCACCCTGAGCTAACATCTGTTGCCCATCTTTCTCTTTTTTTTCTTTTACTTTCCTCCCTGAAACCCCAGTACATACTTGTATATTCTAGTTGTAAGTCCTTCTCATTCTTCTATGGGAGCTGCCGCCACAGCATGGCAACTGACAGACGAGTGATGTGGTTCTGTGCCTGGGAACCGAACCCAGGCCGCCGAAGCAGAGTGCGAAACTTGAACCACTAGGCCATTGAGGCTGGCCTCGTGAACTCCTTTTATTACTCATTAACATTGACCTAAATTCCTAAACCCATTAATTCCCACAATGATGAAAATGGTAGTTGATAAGAACCACTTTACTGATTTCCAGGATTAATGTTTTCCAAAAGCTGTCATCGGATACCTGAAAAACAATACTCTGGATCTTCTTTCTGTGTTCTCCAGTTAATAAATACTGGGTTCCTCAGTTGAAGGGGGATTTTGCCCTGTATCCCTTTGTTTCAGTGTCTTTTATGGCTTCCTAAATTAGAAGGCAGCCATATAAACAAGTGTGATCCTGTATTGTATTTAATACAGGAGAACTTTGGGATTTATTGGTGGCTGAGAGCATGCCGTGAAAACAGGCTTACAGAGTCCATTCTCAACCAGAGTCCCACTCAGATGGCAAGTAACTACAGCATGGGAGAGAAATACTCACCAACATAAAAAGGGTTAACTGAACACCAAGAGCCTTGTGGGGAAAAAAGACATTTTGAAAATTGTGTTTTGGAAAGTGGGCCTCTGAGCAAAACAATTACATGCTGACTGTGGTTAAATGTGTGAATAAATTAGATTTACCAAGCAAGTTACAATATAACTCTTTGTTTTCTCATTCTTCTTAGAGCTTAGCCCTAAAGCCCCAGTGTAGTCATCACAAATGCTTTTATGAAGTTTTTGTGTCCACATTAAAGAAATCCCTTAAGTTGAAAATTTAGAAGCTGAAACACTACAACATCAGCCCACTGAATGTTCAAAACAATTACAAACACACTTCTTTAAAAACTACAGTATAAAACAAATCTGTAAAGCTTGAAATCTCCAGACAAGTAAGAAAACATGTTCTGGGGAAATTATATGAAAGGAAATAATAAACAATGATAAACCTGGAAAAGGTCGGGGGGGAGTAAGTAACACCTCTGTAAAGATAACTTTAAAATCACTATTTTACTAAAGTATTATGCCTGACATAATCATTTAGGAAGAATAGTATTTCAGACCTAAGGACTTGCTAATTGTTATATTAGGATATTTTGGGGTTTTCTCTGTGTGTTTTTTTTTAATAAGTGTTATTTGCTAAGTTTATTATGTCCCTTAAAGGACTTACAAAATCAAAATTTCTGACACTATTAAAACAGGAAGTAGCTGGGTTTGTCTACACATATAGGCTTATGACATCCTGCTACCAATCTGACTGCAGAGTCGATAGTAGAGCCGTGGTCTGTCATTGTCCAAACCAGAGCCCAAGATCATCAACTGCTTAGATCTCATGGGGTAGCCTTTCTAGGGAAAGAAAGTAGAGTCTTTTTCACAGAAATGCAGAAACAACAATTCAGAAGAAGCCTAATGGTTTATGAATGCCTTATACCCACTCTACCCCATCCTGTGAGTCTCCTCTCCACTGGGTGCCCAGCAGGGCCTATAATGGATGGCACTTATCGCTGCTCCTTGAGGCAAGGGGCTGCTCAGCAGCAACTGATGGAGCTGGCCATGCCCTGGGAAACTGGCCACCATCTCCCGCTCTGAGAAGCAGCTTCCTCCCTGACTGTGGCAGGCTTGGCCTCCCGTTCAGGGTCTGCAGGTGGCCATGTCTGCTTCTAGAATTCTGTTTGCTTGACTGGCCACATCTTTGTTTTCTTACTTCATCATCTCTTACCGTGGATTGTCACCTCAGGGTGACCCTGTGCTTCATTCTCACCCCTTTTCTTTGTGCTGCCAGTCTGGGCTTCAAGCCAGTCAGCCGTTACCCACAGCTCAGACTGACACCCTTATTGAACTCAGCCCACCGTCACTGCCTTTGTTGCCCCACCTAGCAAAGGTCACCAAATGCCCTTCCTCATAATGTTCTCCCAGCACCTATTCCTCCATCACCTCCTTCTTTCTTGTGGCTCGCATCTGCCCAGCAAATGTTTTAGTAGCTTCCAGATGGTTATCAACATAATAGTTGAGCTAACATTTAGTAAGTACTCACCAGGAACAAGGCATTACGTTTAGCACTTTGTATATATTATCTCATCTAATTCTCACAAACACCGTATGAAGTAGGTACTATTATTAGTTTCCTTTTATAAGGAGAAACTAAACCTCTGAGGGGTTAAGTTGCCTAAGGCCATACAACTAGGCCTGGGACTCAAACTCCAAAACCAAATTTCTCAAACCCCTGGGGTTCACTGCCATATTCTCAGAGGACCTCATATTCTCTATAAGAATGGTTGAATTTAGTGTTTCTTTTGGTTTATATGGTAAAGAATAATCAGTATAAGCATTTTCTGGATCATCAAAATCAGTAGTTCTCAGTATGGGCTGCACATAAGAATTGCCTAGAAAGCTTTTAAGAAATACTAATGCCTCACCCTGAGAGATTCCTAATTTAGGTGTATTTCAATACACATTCCAAAATGAAGCCATGGCTGAGAGCCACTGATCTAGATAACCACCTCGTAACTGAATCTTAGTCACAATTGTGAGCACAACCATTTCAGTTTGTGCTTACACTGCTCACCCTGGCACCATATTATTAACAGTGAGCTCTTGCCAAGCAAAGACCAAGTGAAGTCACATCACACAGCACGAAGGAGAACCTTGTGGAGAGTTTATTTAGAGAAAAAACGGTGAGCGAGTTATGTCATCCGACTGCATACAGTGCTGAAACCAAAAACATCCACCCCAGCCATCAGTACCATGTTCCTTTGCAAACAGCAACTTCACTGCAGCAAAATATCTTCCCTCACACGAAATCAGTGTTGTTCATTTGAATTTTATTAGTTTGGACATTTTGTGTGTATTTGATTTGTAAATGTATATTTGTTTTACAGTTGTGTAGGAGCTATGACATAAAATGTTCACATCTAGTTATATGTCTATAGTAAGTAATATAATAAAAATAATTTCAGTCACCAGTGGGGGTCTGTGAGAATTCTTTCCTTAAAAGGGGTCCATGTTACTCAAGTTTGAGAAACACTGCCATAATCACAATTCAATACTGCCTGCTTCTGTTTGGTTAAAAAAGAAGGCCAGGGCCGGCCCTGTGGCTTAGCGGTTAAGTGCGCGCGCTCCGCTGCTGGCGGCCCGGGTTCGGATCCCGGGCGCGCACCAACGCACTGCTTCTCCGGCCATGCTGAGGCCGCGTCCCACATACAGCAACTAGAAGGATGTGCAGCTATGACATACAACTATCTACTGGGGCTTTGGGGGAAAAAATAAATAAATGAAAAATTAAAAAAAAAAAAAGAAGGCCAAAGGTGTCAGAGGTAAGACTTTTCCAACTGGGCCCCAACTTGATCAGACTCAGGTTTGAATTTTCAGCAAGAATATTTCATAGATGATGTTTCTTTTTTCCATCAAGAGGCATATATGGGGCCGATCCCGTGGCATAGTGGTTAAGTCTGGCACCCTCCGCTTCAGTGGCCTGGGTTCACGAGTTTGGATCCCAGGTGTGGAACTACACCACTTGTCAAGCCATGTTGTGGCAGCAACTCACATACAAAATAGAGGAAGATTGGCACAGATGTTAGCTCAGAGCTAATCTTCCTCAAGCAAAAAACGATGAAGGTTGGCAACAGATGTTAGCTCAGAGTGAATCTTCCTCACCAGAAAAAAAAAAAGAGGCATATAATGCCTGGTCATCTTTTTGTGATGCTGGCAGCCATTAATATCAATACCTAGGTCTACTGATTCATTAGGAGCTGCAAAACGGTGATACTCTATTTCTGTCATTCCTTCATTTTTTAGCTAAAATACTCCTATAAAGAGAACTTTCCCCCATTGTATATTTCCTTACCATGAAGTACAGTTCACCCAGGAATGACAGGATAAATGCTTGATTCTTTCCTTTTATTTACTAGTTTTCAAAAGAATGAATTAGCTTCCTCAGTGTCAAGGAGAGGGAAATTCCCCCTTCTACCCTTCTTGTGTTCCTATGGCTGGACTAATAATAAAATTGACACGAGACCAGATTAACAGGGTAAAACTCAAATTAATATGTGCACACAAGAGATCATAGAGAAATAATGCTCTCTGAGTGAACAAAGCAGGTGGTTTACATAGTTTTTTATACAAAGAAACAATA